TCCTAATACTTTGCCAGTTTTCGAGATTTGAATTTACAACCTGAAGCTCATCGAGATATAGAAGGGAATAAAGATTATGAAAATATGAATTCTAGTAAAACTGAGGTCCACGCATTAATGAATAAAACTGTACGTGATCAAACGCGTTATTCCCCGATTGCCATTGTAAAACAAAAAAAAAAGATTAGTTATTTCGTTCTTATTTATCGCACTGCGATGAGCGAAGAGCTCTATCAACTTTCAGCCGCGAGCCCCTATTAACTTCTTGCTGCGTTTTTACTTAAAGAGTGCCGCAGAAGTAGAGATATTCTTAGAAGTCCGCGGATATTTTTATTCTCTTCCACTGCTTTCCCATGAGACAGAAAGCTCATTCAGATCGCGCGGAGCTGCAACTCGAAAATAATTCAGCAGCTGCCAGTACTGGTATCGTCGGGTGGGTAACTTAGAATTACGATGATTAATTGAACGTCAGAAACAGAGCGAGTAATTTACGAGACAAATTCGTCGACTACGAGGATACGTCGCTGAGTTTATACGCAACTCGTTCCCCACCTCTCTCTCTCTCTCTCTCTCTCTGACTTTTCTATCTTTCGTTTTTTACAATCCTATATGACTTTCGAACTGTCTCTTTTCATCAGCCGTTCGTGTACAAGAGAGAACGCGGATCGATGTAGCATTTGTTAGTTTCGTCCTTAATTTCAATGATGGATTTTTTAGACACTTGGAGATTTTTCTTTAAAGAAATCCAATGAGGGAATGACTGAAAGAACTTTTAACATAGACAACTAAAACTCAGAGAAGACTCAGGATATTCAGACGTTTTAAATAAACCAATAATAATTTCAGGTAAACTCGTACATTAAGTTAACGGAGTCATATTAGCCCAACGTATATAAACGCCAAACAAATTTACATACGTCGTCGTGTAATACGCGAGAAAGTACTTAGCCCAGTTGAAAACTCGCGCGCGTAAATTTAATCCAGCATAAACTACCCCGGCATAAACTAATCCGGAGGAAAAAAAAACCATGCCTCGAGCCCCGAGTGTTAATCGCAGCGACAAACGTCCCCGAAGTTCGGCGCCGCGCGCGATGCTTAAATTGATTTCCGTTCCGTTTACGACCCCGAATGATTTGCTGACGTTTTCGCTAACGTTATGGCGCGACAGCTGCCACGGGGAAACTCGTCTAACTCATCTGCTTATTCGTTCGCTTTGCGCTCGCCTTCAGCGCGCCGGTTAAAACGTCTCTCTCCGCTTCTATAATGTGCCGTCGTCGTCGGAGCGAAATTCGCGTCGAACGAAACGCCGGCGTCCCTCGACGTTGGAGCGTTAGCGTCAAATAAACGCGCGTAGATTCAATTAAATTCGGGCCGTGGAAACTCGAAATCCTTAATCGTTTAGCGCCGCCGCGAACGGACGTTCGCGGCTGCGGCGACAGTGCGCTCGCCGTATTCACCTGTCCGTCATTATATTATGTTTACTCGCTCGCCCGAGCCTGTCCCGGCGCGCTCGTTTCACGCCGTCGCGGAAGTCGGCGGGACATTTCATAACGCAAAAACGCCCATTGATCCTCTCGTATTTATAAAGCGAGACGCGACTCGGCGCCAGCATCCGCGAGACTTAAAAGTAGCGCATCGATTTCCAGCCACTTGTTCGATAAATCGTTGCTCCCGCCGGCTTCTGCAGGCTTCGCAGGATAGAACGACTCGAGAGTAAATGGCTGACGTACCTTTAAAATAGCACCGAGGTCGAAACGCGACTTCGACGATCGTCCGTTCCGTGGAACGATCGTCGAAGAATCATAGATCACTCGCGGGAAATTATTGCTTCGATCGCGCTGACACGGAGTAACCGAGGCTGAAGACGTCAAGTCCAAGGTTCTTTTGCGTTCAAAATATTTAAATACTTGAAAGAGAGAGACAGAGAGAGAGAGAGAGAGAGAGAGAAAGAACAATAAGTTGCGTTCAAAATCGCGCAGTCGTAAAGTACCTTTAACAAGCAGGAAACGTGCGTGTGTGCGACGTGTTTTCCGACGAATAATCTCTCGTTTACGCAACGTAACGGCAATGCGTATTTTACGCCGCCCATTATTTCCAAATTTGATATCGTAAAGCACAAACCGGGGGGGGGGGGGGGGCAGTTTGCGGTTCGCCGTATAATTCAAAATTAGCCGCGCGGATTAAATTTCTCCGGTCGTGTCGCGACAGGGTGTTCGGCAAGCGAGCGTCTTCATCAAGCGTAGGAAACAGATCGTCGCTTTCACGAGAGCAGATCGCCCGGTGAAATTTATGCCGTCACGTGCCGCCCTCGGCAAAGTGGACGGCAATTTAGTCGCTCCGCTTTAAAGCGAGGCGCCGTTTTCTCGCTGCCGCGAGAATGTGGGGTCGCGGGGCAGCGGCTCCGCGCCCGCCCGATCCGCGAGCGGAAGACAATCCGCCGCGTTCGCGATCGAGCGACCGGAGACGGACCGGCGGAATCTCTCGTCCACTCGCGCTCTCCTTCCGCGATGTCCGCCTCGCTCGAAAACCGGCCCGCCGCTAATTTTTCGCGATTGTCGCGCGCAACGCTCCTCCTCGTTGTTTACTCGGAAAGTTTCCCCAGATCCGTTTAACGCCATCGCGCTCGCATATAATTCACGCATAACGGGACCCTTCGCTAATTCAGCGGAACGCCGTTGACATTCGGGCTTAAGCCAAGAATTTTGCAATTCTCTTCGGCACGCGGACAGCCGTCGGTCGCACTTCGGCGCACTTCGAATCCGCTTTTAAACCGCCGTCACAATCTGTATACGTCGGTGCCTTCCCTTGTCCAAGTCGGCTTTCGCCACAAAGCTGCGAATTGTTTCTTACAGTCAGTTGGATTAATGATTTTCGTCATCAGAGACACGTTTATGTAATGATATAAAAGGGTTTCGCGAGCTGCCGCGGGTCCGCGCGAAGGTACCCAAGGAGAAGAAAGAGTCAGGATGATGCCCAATTTGATGTCATATTGACCAAATCGATGTCAAATTTTGGTCGATATGACATCAAATTGACATCATCCTGACTTTTTCTTCTCCTCGGGTAGCGCAAATTCCTGCCCCCGATTGAAATTTCTTTCTCCCGCGTCACCGACTCGGATCGCGCGACAGGAACAGGAAGGCGCAAATCACGAGGGCGAATTTCGTCGGAAGTCCCGGTCGTGAACGACGCTCGTTCGGCCCGAGTTTACGTTGCCGGCCGTCGTTTCTGCGCTCGAGGAGAAAGAGAGAGAGAAAGAGCGAGTTCGTTGCCAGTTCTAAAATCGTCGTCCTGACAATGACGTAGGATCGCCGGCCGTTTGTCTCACGTGGAACGACGATCGCGATCGTGGCGGATCCCCCCCCCCCTCTCACTCTCTCTCCCCCCTTTCGTCTCTAAACGAGCGGAAAGCGCCGCGAGCGTAAAAACCGACCGCGGGCGTTTCGCGCGATGCGGCCGCTGAATTCTCAGCTAAATAACGAGGTGCGCGCCGGCGAGTCACGCGGCGGGCGCGGGACGATAAATAAACACGGCAGTTTGGACCACTGTTTGGGCAAATCGTATTACGCGCGCGGGCGACGCTTACGCACTTGCTCGGCAGATTTTGCGTTGCGGCCGCGAGAATCTCGCAGCTGCATTGCACTCGCGCCTCTCCCTCTCCTCTCTCTCTCTCTCTCTCTCTTCCTCTCCGTTATGCGATATATAACAAGAATAATAAACACAGCCCCGGAATAGTTTAGTAACTCGCGACTTCTGTGACAATCCAGCGGCATAGCCGGGCGGCGCGGGTTTAACATCCAGAATATTACGGCGCGCCGAGATGCATAAGTCGCCCGAATCTAAATCCCTTCCCCGCCCCCGCCCCGTCTCTGACGCAATGCGCCTGGTCCAGGCGAGAAAAATCATCTCCCTCAGCTCGCCGAGTTCGATCTGCGGGAGACTTTCAGTTCCGCTCAGATTCGCGCGTTTAAATTCCACCGTGCTCCGCGCGACGTATCGGCACAACCCTTTCCGGAGTGAGGGGGGGGAGGAGGGGGCTTCAACGGGTTTGTCTTAAAATAACACATTATACCGGGAGAATCCTCCCTCGATCTCCGTTAATTACTTTTTCATCCGGCTGCATTTGCACGGGCACCTTCGTTGCCAAGCGCGCACGAGCTCGTCGGCCGAGATCACTCGACGCGAGCCGCCCACGTTGCAGCGGCGGCGGAAGCTGGTCACGAACCTGGTCGTGCCGTGCGAGCGCGTCGCCGAACCGCTTACCTCCTGGATCTTGTAGCTGGTGCGGATGGTCTTGCGCCTGGTGGTGGTGATCTCGTAGGTCTCCTCGACGGTGGGCGCCTCGTCGTCGTCGATGTCGTTGCCGCTGACGACGACGCCGCCGTCGTCCGGCCTCGTCAGCGCGTCCGTCACGTCCATCCCGACGTTCTCCGCGTCCACCTCCATCACCTCGCGGGCAGCGAGACCTGCGTCCGATCGTAGGAATCCTGCGGTGAGATGCTCTCGCTGCGAGACGAACGCGGGCGAGAATCGTCCCTTGCCTGTCGCGCGCGGGCACAGACCCCGATTTCGGCTCCGATCTCGGCCTCGGCGCGGGCGAAAAACTCTCTACTCTCTTTCTCTCTCTCTCTCTCTCTCTCTCTCTCTGTGTCTCTTTCTCGCGGCGCCGCGGAGACTATTCCGGGAGTCCAAGTTCCGCGCGGAGCGGCGAGGCTGGCGGTACTAAAGCACCCGCGGCCGCGGAAACCCGCGGCGGGCGAGGTCCCGCCGCGCGTCTTCCGACGAGCGAAAATAGAATCCCGCCGCCGGTTTCCCGCAGGAACGTAGCACGCGTCGCGCTGGCGTATCGATGTATCGACGACGCGCTCGTCAACGCCTTTCGTGACTTACGTCGGGGGGGAGGGAGGATTTTGAAAAATGCCGTCCACCCTCCCAGGGATCGTTTGGGGATCGAACGCTCTCGAGGATTTATGTCCATTTCTACGGATTGATTTTAATCCTGGTTTAACTTACTTGTCATCTCTTACCAATTCCTCGAGCTAGAAAAAGATAAGTACGTTAAACCGAGATCAAATTAATCTGCATCGGTGGAAATGTACGGGCACATTGGGGTTGTAAATCCACCTGCCTGCGCTACGGATTATAAACAAGTGATATTTAGGCTTAGTGCAATTCGTTCCTTGTCTCTTTCCAACTGTTACCTTCGAAAGAGACAAATATGAATTGAATTAAGTTTAAAGTTAAGCGACGGTTGGTGAAACCGGATCTTAAAGGCCCGGTTTCACCAAACGTCGCTTAACTTTGATCTTAGTTTAATTCAGGTCTGTCTCATTCTAAAGTAACAGTTGGCGAAGCCGGGCCTTAATGTCACTTGAACCTACTGCAATACGCTTGTCGTTTTAAAGCGTATGGATCTTTCGAGCAGCACATCCATGAAAGCGTAAAAAATCTGTTTATTCGTCAAAGCTTTAACAACGCCTTAGCGCAGCAATATGGAATAGTATTGGTATAATAACAGTAACAGTAACATCATCAACAACGATGCATATGTATCCTTACAAATTAAAATTTAAGGTGCGTCTGGGGAGCGCGCTTTTAGCGCTAAAAGCATCTTCTGTCTTTCTTCGACGTACAGCGACGAAGATGGACCGGTGCTCTCGGCGCTAATAGCGTCTCCCCGAACGCAGCCTTAATACAAAGGTCTACAGTCAATAAAAAATTAACTTCCCTGAGGTCTTATAGTATACGGATATTTTTCATGGCACTGTTTTCGCAGAGAATTGAATGTAAAATCAGTCATGCATCTCGCCGTTTACAACTGGTAAATACACGCATAAACGCTCGCGGACGCATTTGTGTCTACGAAGGGACGTCTTCACGGGAGATACGCTTCGCGAGTGCGATCTCTTTCGCATTTATCAATTCGGACGGCTCGAAAATACCGATTTCCGTGATTATGCCGGTGATCAGACTCGCCGGTGTCACGTCGAACGCCGGATTCCAGCACGTTACGCCCTCCGCTGCGATTCTCTCGTTATTTACGTGAGTCATTTCCCGCTCGGATCGCTCCTCGATGATTATGCCGTCACCGTCGGGCATTTGGAAGTCCACGGACGTCAGTGGTGCGGCCACGTAAAAAGGGATATGGTGGTACTTGGCGAGAATCGCAATCTACAATCGACAAAGGGATCGATTACGCGAGTGTATACTGCAAAAGCATGTACCGAGATATCTTTGAAGAGAAACCAGTTATCTTTAGAACAATTTATGACCCTCCGTCGTTATCGTTTACGACTCTAATAATCACGGATTGAGATAGCGCGCGACTCGTGGCTGATAAGCTACCTGATAAGTTCCAATTTTGTTGGCGGTGTCGCCGTTCACGGCGATCCTGTCCGCGCCGACGACCACCGCGGCAACCCGCTTCGTTTTCATCGTCGCGGCGACCATGTCGTCGCAGATCAGAGTCGCCGGTATCTTGTCGTGCACCAGCTCATAGGCGGTCAAACGGGCGCCCTGATTGTACGGTCTGGTCTCAGTGCAGTAGACACGCTCTGGAACAACAAATAGATAACGGTTGCGACAAAATGCGTCGTGCTCGGCCGGCCGAGATAACGCTGTCGGAAACAAGCCGTATTTACCGAGCCTGCCCGACTCGTGAAGCGATCGGATGACGCCCAGGGCCGTGCCGTAGCCCGCGGTGGCGAGGCTGCCGGTGTTGCAGTGGGTCAAGACACTGACGGGGCTCCCCTCCGGCAAATCGCGCAGAATGTCGCGCGCTCCTAGACTCCCGATTGCCTTGTTGTCCGCCACGTCCGCCCTCAGCATCTCGTCTATCTGGTTTACGAATCTACGACGCAAGTTTCGAGAGAGTTAGGTCAATCGAGAGCCGTTCACGTTCCTTCACCAAAAGCATAGTCACAGGGATGTACTTGTCTCTCATCTGGGACAGCGTGCACGTGGCGTTCTCACTGAGATCATTCGCCAGGTGCACGAGCTCGTCGGCCGCAGTCCTCATGTTGACCGCGGTGGGACGCGCCGTCAACAGGTGGCTCAGGTGAGTCTCGATAGCCTGGCAAAGAGCCGCCTTGTGCTCGTAGGCGTCCGGATGTCCAAGGATCTCCACCGCCAGACTGAGGCTGCCCACGATAGCGATGGCTGGTGCGCCTCGCACCTGTACACGATCATCAAATTACGTCCGCGTGATGTAAACCAACATGCACATTTCTCGTTGTGTTGGCTTTTAGATCAACTAGCTGCGCTGGCTCGAGGTTTCTTTCCCCTTCCAATCTAGAGAAAGGCAGGTAAGTCACTAGACTGTCTACTGCGACAAGTATTGCCGCATGCCTCGGTGGCCGAATTGGTGAAACGCCCGCCTGGAATGCAGAGAGGCCCAGGTTCACACCGCGGCAGAGGTGATTTTTTTTCGCAATAAATTTCTTCAATTTGAATTTGCCGGTGGTGTCTTTCACATAGACCGGTGGCCAGGTTGGAGGGGAAAGAAAAGTAAACTCTCGACTATAGCGCGGCCAGTTCGGCTAAAGAGATCCAAGATCCCACGTGCTCCTATTTACATATTCTCGGTCGAATCGACATTTTCGACAAAGGCACGCGTAGAAAGCGGAGCTGACGTTTAGCAACACGTGCCGAGGAACGAATGTACGGTTTGAGACTCGGGACGATCGCCGACAAACCTGCATCTTGTTGATCACCCGCCAGCCGTCCTCGACGCCTCTGACCTGGACGTAGCGGGTGGCTGCCGGCAGCAGCGTCTGATCCAGAACCTCCAGCTCGCCGTTCGCCTTGCTCCATTTTATCGCCTGCAGCGTCATCGCGATCAATCAGGGAGGCGATTCGCGACGACTCCAGGACTTGTCGGGCGAGCGCGAGCCGCAATTACCAAGGGCCGTCGGAGTCAATTCTCAAGCGCGGAGGCGAGTAAATTGGAGGCTAGAACCCACCACACCGCGAGCGCGCGGGCAGCGTCCAGCGAACTGGCGTCATCTGGCGGGCGAGATGCGAGGCGAGCGTGCGTGTCTGCCTACCCCACTCCTCCCCCTCGCGCCAAGCGGGCCGCACGCGCGCACCGAAAAGCGCGTAACGTTATCTCCGAGCACGTTGCATAATTCTCGTGATAAGCGGCGTCGAGCGGTCGTCATCGGCTCATCTGTTGCGAAAGGTCGCCCGAGATGGCTCGTGAGAGATAGCGGGGTAACTTAATGGAAATGCGAAGGAATCTTCGAGAAATACTTGTGCCCGTAGAGCCACATATTGTTCAACCCCCACGGAAAAAGATATGTTTCAAAAAGTACGTGAAAATATATGGTAATATATTTCGTACATTTGGTATATAAAAATTCTATTTAAAAAATCGTATGTAATGTTATACATATATGTCAAAAATATATTAAAAATGCATGTGAAATATATGAGTAATATATATTTAAATTATTTTGTTTCATTCAACAAAATGGGTCTCTCAGTACTGTTTGATATTTGATAAATACTTAAATTAAAGAAATGCCTGTTTTAATTTGTTTATTATTTTATAAGTTTAGGTTAATAAACTATTACGAGCCACCTAATGAATAATTTTCTTGAGTAAAGTAATATTTCTTTGGATTAAGATATTTTTTTGTCAGTGTACATATTAGAAATAAAGGTGTTACTTTAAGAGGGAATTCTCGTTTTTTTCTAATTGCGTGGATTATGCCAGATATCGAAGAATTAAAGTATAATGGCTATCATAAAGATAAATTTCAACAACTTGTATCGCGCGTGTTATCTCCCGTACAGCACAAAACTTGCAGTTACATTGCAATAACATGGCTACAATATTGCAACACGACTGTAATGTAACTGCAATGTAACTGCAAGGTTTGTGCTGTATGGGCTTCTACAATTATAATATTACAAATGGCATTTAAGTACTCTTACGGAAAAGCAACGAAATAATTACTGAAAACTTACTGTACATCAGTAATTTCTAATGGTTCATTACTGATATGCAGTAATTTTCTAATAATTATTTCGTTACCTTTTATCGTAAGGGTATCACTGTCAAAATATCATTAACTTACTTTATTTATATTATCCATCGCCAAATTTCCATTAAGCTATCTTCTTGTATCATTAATTGATTTAATGATATCATTAAACATCCTTTTATTATTGTGTACTATCCTCCGTTAAAGAAATTAATTTGAACGCATTTAAAATTAAATGCGCATACGTTTAGAAAAATTGTCTGCGTGTTGAAATACCTTGAAACGATTCCCACGAGTTGTTGAGGTGTCAACGAGTCCATTGCTGCGGCATCACGAGTCAAAAAGTTTCGATGACGAGAACTGGTCTCCTGTGCATCACGTGTCATGTCGATGCACCGTTAGCGTTTCGGATAATCCAGCCGAACGGCCCTCGGAACGCGCGGATTCGGGGACGTCGAGGCGCGTACGCGCGCCTCCGCTTCACTTCCGCAGTTACGCCCGCGCGAAAAATTGCAGATTCGCGTGAGACACACGTAAAAGGGTCGTCGATCGTTTCGCTTCCGAGTCACGTGCGCCCCCCCGTAAAGTCGAACGAAGACGGCGAGGAAGATCCAGCGCGCGCGGAGGCTGCGACTACTCTCCGGCGAGACACCGCGCGGAAATGCCACGCGTACGGGGAGAGAGCGCACGTAATTTTCCCGCCCTCGCGTGCGCGAAATCGCCCCTGGGCACGAATCCGCCCACCATCGCGCGGCGGAATTTCAAAGGGCAAATGTCAAACGCCGACGAGCCTCGCGTTTCTCGGCGGAAAAGCGGCGTGCGTAATCGCGGAGGACGGTCCCTGACTCGGGAATTGAAAAAATCATGAAACTTTGGCGATAGACAGAGAATGTCCCGCTAACAGAAACCCCGCCGTCTCATAGTAGGAGTCTGTCTTATAATGTGGGAAAGTACAAGAGTGAGGAGAGAGAAGAGAAGAAGAGAGGGAGGGAGAGGAGGGGTGAGAGTGGGGGGAATAGATCGAAAGAAAATGAAAATAAAGCAAGAGGAAGCGGAAGTCGAGAGGGAGGTGTGTGCGTGTGTGTCCGTACATATTAAAATGCAGGACAAGTTAGAATAAGTTTAAGTCTGAATGTAAATTAGAATAAATAACGTTTTGTAAGAAGATTGTAACGCCAATGGGAACGATAAAGCTGATTCTATTCTATGTTGCCAAGGTTCAATAATTTTTAGAATTTCCAAGTTGAGGACCTTTACCGCGCGACTCGCCGACGCCTTTGAACGATCGCACCGAAACGTCAATCCTATCTGCGGCCGAACAATGCCCTATTTAAAGCGATCCTGACGCGCGAGTCCGATTCGCGGTCCCTTTGTGCCGCCGCGCTGCAAAAATGGCCGGATTAGCAGCGACTGACAGGAATGTATTTCGCGATATTGATTTCATAATCTCTGAATTGGCAGGGCGGGGACCAGTAGTTGGAAAGCGCCGCGGACTCCTCCCCGGCGCTGTCGATCTTCGCAATTTTGCAGCGTAAAAACTCTTACGGACTTTCGTCGATTTATTCGTCCTTTTTAGGGCTGCATCGGACAAGTTCTTCCTGTACGCTTCCTTTGAAGCGAACGCGGTTGATTCACACCCCCCCCCCCCCCCGACATCTCTCACCTTCGCCATTCGCCCGTCGTTTCCGCGTTTGCGTTCTCTCGCGCGCGTGTTGTCCACAGCAGGTTTCCTCGAACGACTCGCGTGGCGACATAAATAGCGGGACGTAAAAAGCACGCTCGCGAGTGCCTCGCGTGATAATTACGTCCGGCGCAAGCTGGTAGAGTTACGCGATTGCCAAACGCAGAAACAGTCGCGCGTTGATACCGGCGGCAATCGAGATAACGAGACGAATTCATGAGCCGAGGGC